CTGGTTGCAACGTGTTCCATACTTCTGACAGAAACCAAGATAGACAAACTTAGCCATGGTACAATTTTGGTTTTTTTAAAACAAACGCTAAATCAATCAATTCTGATAGTCAATTATTATAAATTAAAGAAGTATCATGTATAATTTACCAGGCTTAAAATAGAATTATAAAAGTACGAACTTAATAAAATATATCAGCCGAACATTTAAAATACAGTTCTAGATGCAACTTTCCAAGAATCAAGTATTTGAGAAGAAAAATTTCACCCTGAATAGCCATGCCAGGAGCTACATTATCTGGCAGAGAAACAAGAAAATAAGAGGTTGGCTAATGGCAGTAGACTGCGATTTAAAGTACATGCAGGTGTTAGAATTATTTTCTAAGGTAAAATTCACAAAATTATTTTGAAAGATTGTTTGAATTCAAAAAATTCAGATGATAAAATTCCAAATGAGAAGACAATGTAGCAGCGAGTTACATAAAAGAAAACTTTAATCAAGTATTGATAGACAGTCTGACGGTGAAACTAACTCTGAAAGTAAGGAAAATTTAAGACCAAAGAAAATGGCTTCTTGATTAAAGAATATTATAAGAAAATGAAATCAATCTCAGCAAAGTTCTCTCAATAGGTATCTGATGATAATATCAAAAATCGAAAAAAATGCAGGAGGAGCTGAAATAATATTTAAAAAATCAGCAGATTAGAAAGTAACGGTAAGTCATGGAGGAAGGGGTAAATACAACGTTTAAACTGTTAATAAACGTGATTATATTAAAGTTAGTACAATGCAGAATTCAAAACGCCTAGGACTTACGCTACGCAAGAAAATCCCAGATTTTTCTTACACCATCAAGCAATTGACTGCCAAAAATATACTGTCAAGTAATGAAGTAAGCGATGATAAATGCATCAATTACTGATTTGCTACCCTAGATAAAATTTAAAAAGCCCCAGAAAAGAGAGTTTGAATAAATCAAAAGATCATGGTAATACTTAACAATTTGATGGTCAATCTCCAATATAGAGTTAATTAAATTAAACAAGATGTCAAGCACCACAATCTTAAAGAAAATTTTCTCATCAGAATGAATGTATGGGGATTTAACACTACCACGGATCAACTTCTAAAAGATCTACTAGAAAGTGCAACAAATAACTCAATGATGCATAAGCTCTCCAAAGAAAAAATAAATTTAAAGAAAAAATGTAATGCTACGAGCGAAAAGGCCATATTTGCAACTAACACTTAAAAGAAAGTTCTCTGTGAACGAAAATATTATAAATAAAATAACACTGAAGATAAGAGCGGAATAAAAATTCGAAAATTAGATTGAAGGCAAAAACGTAGCTGTACGTAATATCATACAAGACTTGGTGGGATCATATAAAACCTTAATGCTCATTAAAAAATACCTATACAAAATACTTAAAAACAGACAGTTAATTTTAACAAATCTTTTTGTGCGATTTATAATTAATAATAAGTGAACTCTGAGATATATATACAATGTTATTTGTGCTTAAAAAAACCTGTGCATTGACCCAAAGGAGGAAGAAAAATATTACACTTAGATACGGAGTACAGTAATAATAACTGCATCTTTCTACTAACATGAAAGTTCATAAAAAACATATGCATACACTTACAAGACACTGGTGAGAGCGAGAAACTAGCAGTAGAAGAGCTTTGGGAAGGACAAGTGAGTGGAAACAAAAAAAATGAATACAATGAGAGAAATTTTATAGAAGAATGCATAAAAAGATTGGGAACAATTGCCCACCTGAACCAACCTCAACCACCACTGCTTAATTCTTATAGTGACTCCAAATTACTTGCAGATCAAAACTTACAGAGATTAAAAAGACCAACACCCTTTCATTTCCACAAGCTTTTATCTTTTCTTGTTACAAGCGTAACTTCAACAAAAAAAAAATAATGATATAACATTACGTATACAAATGATTAACAATAAGTAAAATGACAATAACACTAACTAATCAGTAAATAACTGCATACGATGACGGGATATATGCAAATGTACATATAAAGAAGTTTAATTTTTTCTTATATTAGTGGCCCTCAGAGACGCAGAGTAAAATGAAACAAAAAAAAAACTCTTATAACTTACTTAACTAAGAAACAATATTAACAAATAACTAGCATATGGTTAAATAAGACAAGAACGTATGATAAATTAACTGCATACGTTACTTTTCTAAGTACACGATTCCCAGTGCGTCACAAAAAAAACTACAAAAAGACGTAAACAAACTTTTTTTCTTTGCTCATAAGAACTAGAATTAACTATTGTATCACTTTTATTATCCTCTATTAGTTGTAGTGCAAAAAAAAAGAATAAAGAGAAAAATACTAATGTACAAAGTTCCTTACATGAGAAATGACTATACATTTGATATTTGAGAAGTCTTTGTATGTTGTATGATCTTGATACCATCAATTAGTTTATAATATTTTCCAGTTCTTAAGAATAAACCATTTATTCAATAAGAATATAATTTTTATTGATAAATGGTGAGCTTCCTTTCCACAAGCACAAGTTTAAAAAAATAATAATTTTTGTGTTTGTACAAAAACAAGAATCACGTTGAAAAAATATGTCAAAAAAAGTTACATTTTTCAAAAGATATAGAATCGACCAAACAAAAAAAAATTGAGAATCAGCAACTCATGCCTACAAGCTTACAAGTGTAATTTATTGGCTTACTTAAACTTAGTCTGATTAGTAAATTTTCTGAGACAAAGAAGTTATTTTCAAGATACTTTTCTTTAAGTGATTAAGAAGTTCAATTGTAATGAAACATTTTTATTCATCCAGCATTTAGCTATAGTCCCATAATTATTTTATTCATCAAAATTTCTTACTTACGAATAAAATTAACGTGAAAAAAGTAGACTATCGTTGAACTTTCGCAGTTGTCTACCTTACGATCACAGAAAATGGATATGATTGCATCATTCATCACAATTCTTAGTTAAACAGTTATTATCAAATGATAAGTTCTGAAAGATCTGGAATGAAATATATTCTATACAATAAAATTAAAATAAGACTAAACAAAAAAAATATATACACTGCAAGGTACAACAATATACATGCGGTACCATATAGACGTAGGGTCGCCAAATCAAGTGAGAAATATTAGGTCAAATGAAAGGGGTATTGCGTGGTTGGTATACGGTGCAATAAAAGTGCGTTACGAGGGAAAGATGCATGTCAAAAGCCAAAATAGTTGTAGTTTTTCTTGGACGATCGTGGCAAAAGGGTTATCGGTCAAGGAACTCCCGCTCAACCTGTCACCACATGGTGCAATTTCAAATCCATGTAGCAAAGTCAGTGCGGCATTTCTTTTTTTTCTTGCTCAAGGTTGGCAACTGGGTCGTACGTAAAATGGCATTTTCGCATGTTGATATTGAGATTTTGGCTCGTGGACTGCTTGAAAAGGTAGTCCTTTGTCACCAAGACCGTGAAATATTTGAGGTAGTCTCATCGACGTGCCTCAAAACAATTGATGGTGTCTTGCTTTGTTTGAATAATTTAATATTTTCATATCTTTATTTGACCCTTGAGAATCTGGTGGTTGCCGTATTTACGGACCTATAAGTCGGAATTTCCATAAAAACGATAGCGTTTGTTACTCATCACTTTCTTAACTCAAATGCATCAGGGAGCCCTTTTTCTTTGTATTTGATAAATTGCGTATTAAACGAGGTCCAATTAAGTTAGTTGTCATTGTTTTAAGCGATTGTGTACGGAATACGAAAAAGCTTTATTTTATTTTGTTATTTGTTGATTATCTGATGAAAGAAACTTGAGCATAAAAAAAATTATCAAAAAAAGAGGTAGACCTAATTTTATTTTTTTTTTGCGTATTTACCTTACGTTGCATTTAAGTACAAATCAATGTGAATATTCCAGATCTTAATAGATTGAAGTTTGCTATATAATTGACTTTATTAATTATTTGGAATGCCAGTTGTAATATTTTTTTATCTTCGTTTAATCCTATTTACTACCTGTCGAGTCGAGTGTTCAGTTGTATCATAAGATGCTCAATTAAATCTTGATCAGTTTTTATTTTTTAAGTGTCTCTATATGTGAAACAGATTTTAAGTTTTTTTATTTAGTTGTACTTTATAAGTTCTTTGCCTTGTTACACATAACATTAATCTATTTATATGTTTAAATTTATGTATAACATAAATTAGAATTAGGTTATAAGTTTGGTTAAAATAGAACATGCAAGCTACATTTTTATTCTTTTAATTATAAAAAACAAGATAGATATCCTCCAATTCTTTGGTTATGTTTAAAGACCACTATATTAACTTTGAATACATCTAGAGAGTAAAGGCACTTTGTATTATTTTTGTTTTGATTATTCAACGATGCTAACCTCTACCTGAATCCTCACACAAACTTGCAGCACACATATATGTATTTGTATAAAAAAAAATCAGTACAGTAAGTAAATAATACATTTATCTTATGAAATATGTCAAAACTTTATAAACAAACGCATTTGTGGAAAAAACTGTGAAATACCTACAGCAGTCATAAGCTATAAATGGCTGTAATAATTAAGCAAGTCTGTTGCTACAACAGCAAACTCTATCATTAGTAAGTATCAGCCCTTTATACCAAAACAAAACAAAGATCCCACGACAAAAAAAACTGCTTAATAAATATTTTTAGACATTGTTAAACAAGGAAAAAAAGGTGTACCAAACTTATACGTGTCATCCTAGCAAAAAAAAATAACTAATTTTCAACTATTAAACTTAACAAGGTTCATAAAAAGTCCCTTGTTATAAATAAACACCAGCCTAAAATAGAAAACGAAATTTTTTAATTTTTAAAGATAAAAAAAACTGTTTTAATATAAAAATTGATTGATTTATCTTATCCGCATAAATCGCAGACATTGCATTATAAATAAAATTACAAAAATATAAGTAGAAGAAAAATCTGAACTTACCGATAATTCCCTATGTACACTCCATCAGGATTAAGCATAGGAATAATTCTAAAGACAACGTTATTTCGTAGTATTCTAGCGATAGGATGATTACTGATAAGAAAATCAAGAGCGCCTTGACACACGAATGATGATGGTGACTCACCAGGATGCATCCGACCAATAATCACCACCATCTTCGAAACTTGCTGCTCTTGTCTTTTACAAAACACGTCATTTTTTTTTTTATCAGTTATTGTAACAAGCTCAATTTTTTTTTTTTTAACTGAACTTGTTACAATTTCTCTTTCTAAAAACGGGTACCTGAAATGGAATTGAAATGAATTAGTTTTTTAAAAACACTTAAAAAATGATACAAATTTTTACATTCATAAACAAGATACGAACAAAAGGAATGATTTTGTGCTCCTTCATTAATAAGGATAATTTTATAATACACAAATGCATGTTATTGGTTTCGTTCCTTCCAAATATCGTTAAATATCTGCAGATCGTGTCATACCAGCATAAGTACATCGTAATCAAACCATAAAAACGTTACATTTTTTAATATTAAATGCATTACGCAAGATTAAAAAGCCACTGAACCACAATGTTAAAAGTAAAAAATGACGTACTTGAGTGTAATACATGCTTAAAGGGACAATTCATGTGCTTTAGTCATTACTAATACCACAGGAAACAATTCGTATCTAAAATAGGTCTATCCCACATTATACCTAGCTCAGGAGCATTGACTTAACCAAAGAACCAAACCAACAACAACATCGTCCAGAATGATGCTCGTAAACGGTTCTATACATACTACTATCTAAGGACTAAAGAAACATGAAGACAAAAGATATTATAATGTTATTTAGAACCAGGAAAATTAATTATGCAGGCTACCTGTTTATTTATTTGAATAAACAATATTGCCTCCAGATGATAAAGATAACGATAATTATGATGAAAATAATACTTATTGTCATAATAATATAAATAACGATAATGACAGTAACAGGAATAATAGTAGTAACGATGATAATGGTTATAATAATAATGATCATCATATTAATGATGATAATAAAAATGACAATGATAATAATAACACTGATAATGATGATGATACGGATAATAATGACAATGATGATAATGATGATAACGATGATAATGATGAAGATAATAATAAGAATAATGATAGTGGTAATAATAATAATAATGATAATGATTAAAAAAGTAATAATAGTAATAATAATGACGATAAAAATAACACTAATGATGATAATAATTATAATGATAATAATAGAAATGAAGCTAATGATAATAATAATAATGATTGTATTTATCAAAATAATAATAAGAGAAATTTTAAAAAACAGTAACAACAACAGTGATGATGATGATGATAATTAGGATAATAAAGATAATAGTGATGGTTATGACGACATTGTTAATAACAATTATAATACACATAAAGATAAAAATGACAATGATGATAATAATGATGACAATAACAAAGATGATGTTGATAATGAAAATGTAAATAATGATAATAATAAAAATGGTTTAAATATTAATAATAATGATGACAGAAATAATTACAATGATATTAATGATTATAAGAATAATAATGGCAATGATTATGATAAAGAAGATCATAATCATAATAACTATAATGATAATGTGGATAATGATAATCCAGACGATAATTATGGTGTTAATGATGATGATAATGATGATAATGATGATGAGGATGATAATAAAGATATTGATAATCATTATAATAATTATGATTACAATGCTATTGATTACGATATGCATGATAACTGTCACGATCATGGTGATAATGATGATAATCAAAATAATAATGATGATGAAGATGATGATGATGATGATGATGATGATGATGATGATGATGATGATGATGATGATGATAATGATGATGATGATGATGATGATAATAGTGATGATGACGATGATGATGGTTCGTTTTCTACAGGCCATACAAAACGTAGGAGACTTAACTGACAGGCAGTACAGATTCAGAATGAAAAAGTTCTACCGTAAGAGCGGTAGAAGAAGTAGTAAAAGCTGTTCAGAGTAGTTGAAACATATACCATCAAGCAAGACCCCTCACTCTTCTGGTAACCTTACATGTAAAAAATGCTTTGAACTTAGAAAAACTAAAGTACATGCTTTACGCATTAAATCATACAACAAGAACACCAGATTATGTCTTAAAAGTATTGAGAAATTATTTGAAGTACCTTTTATTAAGCTATACGACAACATAAAAGAAAAAAATAACAAAGAAAATAACTACAAAGGCACTCCAGGTATTTATACTTGGACCCAATCTCTAGAACGTATCACACGACAAACTGCCTCGCCAGAAAATATCTGAGAAGACGTTTTTGGTAGAATACGCGGACGATGCTACTTTAGCGATCGTTTAATGTACGATAAAATTTGTCCCGATACGACTTAACTAGGTTATGCGGAAAGTGGCTCCTTGGTTAGAGAACCATGGATTCGAAGTTGCAGCAGGTAAGATGGACATAGTTCTATTGACCAGGAAAGAGATAGATAATATCATCCCCCTCAAGGTACAAAAAGAAGAAGTCATGACGAACGATGCCGTAAAATACCTAGGAGTGACGTTTTGGAGCCACCTTATGCAAGCAGCAGACAAGGCGGTGGTCAAAGTAGTAGCATTTAGCCATATCATTCTGAACGTTAGAGGTCCAAAACCTTCAAAACGCCGGCTTTTTATATCTACGGCTCAGTCTATTGTTTTGTATGGGCCTGAGAAATTAGAAGATGAGATAAATGTCAAAAAAGAGAAAGTAAAAATCACCCAAGTTTAAAGAATAGAAGCCTTAAGGATAGCCTGCGCCTATAAAACAGTCTTGGAGTCTGCAATGATGGTGATAGCAGGCGTAATTCACATTAACCTTCTTGCAAGGGAAAGACAACTAAAGCACTTTACGGAGCCGGACTTAAGAACAATAAAGACCAAGAAATACGCCCGGGAAATGGCCTGGGAACGCTGGCAACATAGATGGCAAAAATGAAGTAGAGGTAGATAGACGGCATGCTTGATAAAAGATGTCAAGGAATGGACAAAGTGAAAACTAAGAGAAGTAGATTACTACTTTACCAAATTCCTCTCAAATCACAAGTATTTTTGCTCGTACCTTAACAAGATGCAGAAACACAGACGGCTGCTTGCAAGTACTGCGGCTACAACAAAGATAACACAGAAAATTTGTTCTTTAACTGCATCAAGTGGCAAGCCGAACGAGACTTGCTGCAAGGAAGAATCGGAACTTTGAAATTTGACTACTTCATAGATCAAATGCTACTCAACGAAAAAAGATAGACTGCAGTAGCCCAACATATACATACAGTTTTCTGGGCTAAAAAAAAGGACGGTTTTCTAGATGACTGAGCAGAGGTAGTGTGCGCGTGGATTCGGTGCCATCGTGTTTCCGTGGGGTATTGTTTTTGCTGCGGTGCTTGAGGTGATAAGGGGAGGGGTAGTGGCACTGTTTTAGGGGTGGGGCCACTGGGGCGTGGCCGTGGGATGGTCAGTGTGCAAAATATGGGCCTGCATGAGTGCTTAAGCGCAAGCAGACTTCCTCCAGCTGCGTCGCTCTATGACCTTTCTACTAATGAGCAGCTGCGGTTTAAAGGCCCATACTTATCAGTGCTTTGTTTCAGCTGCCCTCCATCTTTTTTTTTTTTTTTTTCGTTGGGGCTTAGCTTCTGGGGTATAACCACAGGATAGTGTGAGGCATAAAAGCTTGCGTTTGTGCTTGAATGTGGGCATGCTTTCGTCGATCGCTTTGCTATTTCACCTTCCTGCCGATGAGCAGCTGTACTTTGGTGACCTTAGCTTCCGCTTTACGGCCTCTGCGGTAGGTGTGCTCCTCGCGTCTTTTTTAGGGTTAGCTATGTCTAAGCTCGTGCAAGAAAGGTTCAGCTGGTTATTCTGCTCCTTCTCTTGAACTGAACAGAGAAGAACAGCTCGGATGCATGACAAAAACTAGAAACTACCCTAGACGACGCAAAAAATACAAGACGTGTTGGTAACGAAAAACTTAAGAAAGTCAGTAACAGCGGCTGAGCCTTTGTGGCCCGGCTTAAAGTATAAGTGCGAGGAGCAGATTCCGAACCGGGTGTCCCAAGAGAAAAATCTTGCTAGTTCAGTATAGATGGTTATAACAAGTTCTACACAAAAAAAAATTCGTACACCCTTTTACTAAGCACAAAGACATTCTGGGCGACCACAGAAAATAAATTAAAAAAAAAAACATACTAATAATAACAATGATGATACGTATTTAACTGATAAAAAAAAAACTACAATAAGAATAATTATGTCGATAATAATAATCATAACAAAATTGACAAGTATGATGGTGATGATTATAATAACGATAAAATGCCCGATAATAAAGATCATAATAATGATAAAAATACAAATAGTTATAATGGTGACAATCACGAAAATAATAAAAACAAAGAAAATAAAATAAAATAACGATAATGTTGATCGTAATAATTATGGTAATAATAATGATAAAAATGTTTATTATAATGATGATATTGATATAGGTTATGAAGATCATGATAATGATAATGGTGATTCAAATGTTGATACTATTAATAATAAAAATAAGTATTCTGATCATAATAATTATCAAAACAATAATAATAATAATGATAAGGATAAAAATGATAATAATGCTTATGATAATTATAATAATAATAATGATAATGATGTTGATGATGCTAATAATGATCATAATCCTTATGATGATGGTTATGGTAGTAAAAATGATAACAATAACAATAAAAATAATACTAATAATGACTATAATAAGGATAATAATAAAAAAAGTTATATTGATGATAATAATGATTATGATGTTATAAATAATGATGGTGATAGTGATAATAATGATGATGATAATGATAATAATGATAATAATAATGATGATGACGATAATAAAGATGATGATAATAATGATTATGATGATGTTAATGATGATGATGATGACAAAGACGATTATGATAATGATAATGATAATGATAATGATGGTAATAATGATGAAGAGGATGATAATAACNATGATGATAATGGTGATGATGATGATGATAATGATAATGGTAATAATGGTGATGGTGATGATGATAATGATGATAATAATAGAAATAAAGATACTGATAATGATTAAAATGATTATGACAGTAATAACAGTAATAATAGTTATAATGAAAATGATTATAATAATAGTAATTATAAAGTCAATAAT